CACCTCACACCAGCAGACAACCATTGTTCCCCACCTCACACCAGCTGACAACCATAGTTCTTCACCTCACACCAGGAGACAACCATTGTTCCTCACCTCACACCAGCTGACAACCATGGTTCCTCACCTCACACCAGCAGACAACCATGGTTCCTCACCTCACACCAGCAGACAACCATGGTTCCCCACCTCACACCAGCAGACAATAGTTCCTCACCTCACACCAGCAAACAACCATGGTTCCTCACCTCACACCAGCAGACAACCATGGTTCCCCACCTCACACCAGCAGACAACCATGGTTCCCCACCTCACACCAGCAGACAACCATAGTTGCCCACCTCACACCAGCAGACAACGATGGTTCCCCACCTCACACCAGCAGACAACAATAGTTCCTCACCTCACAAAAGCAGACAACCATAGTTCCCCACCTCACACCAGCAGACACCAATAGTTCCTCACCTCACACCAGCAGACAACCATGGTTCCCCACCTCACACCAGCAGACAACAATAGTTCCTCACCTCACACCAGCAGACAACCATGGTTCCCGACCTCACACCAGCAGACACTCATGGTTCCCCACCTCACACCAGCAGACACTCATGGTTCCCCACCTCACACCAGCAGACACTCATGATTCCCCACCTCACACCAGCAGACTCTCATGGATCCCCACCTCACACCAGCAGACACTCATGGTTCCCCACCTCACACCAGCAGACATTCGTGGTTCCCCACCTCACACCAGCAGACACTCATGGTTCCCCACCTCACACCAGCAGACACTCATGGTTCCCCACCTCACACCAGCAGACACTCGTGGTTCCCCACCTCACACCAGCAGACAACCATGGTTCCCCACCTCACACCAGCAGACACTCGTGGTTCCCCACCTCACACCAGCAGACACTCATGGTTCCCCACCTCACACCAGCAGACACTCATGGTTCCCCACTTCACACCAGCAGACTCTCATGGTTCCCCACCTCACACCAGCAGACTCTCATGGTTCCCCACCTCACACCAGCAGACACTCATGGTTCCCCACCTTACACGAGCAGACATTCGTGGTTCCCCACCTCACACCAGCAGACACTCATGGTTCCCCACCTCACACCAGCAGACACTCATGGTTCCCCACCTCACACCAGCAGACACTCATGGTTCCCCACCTCACACCAGCAGACTCTCATGGTTCCCCACCTCGCACCAGCAGACACTCATGGTTCCCCACCTCACACCAGCAGACTCTCATGGTTCCTCACCTCACACCAGCACACTCATGGTTCCCCACCTCACACCAGCAGACTCTCATGGTTCCCCATCTCACACCAGCAGACTCTCATGGTTCCCCACCTCACACCAGCAGACTCTCATGGTTCCCCACCTCACACCAGCAGACACTCATGGTTCCCCACCTCACACCAGCAGACTCTCATGGTTCCTCACCTCACACCAGCACACTCATGGTTCCGCACCTCACACCAGCAGACTCTCATGGTTCCCCACCTCACACCAGCAGACACTCATGGTTCCCCATCTCACACCAGCAGACACTCGTGGTTCCCCACCTCACACCAGCAGACAACCATGGTTCCCCACCTCACACCAGCAGACACTCGTGGTTCCCCACCTCACACCAGCAGACACTCGTGGTTCCCCACCTCACACCAGCAGACTCTCATGGTTCTCCACCTCACACCAGCAGACAACCATGGTTCCCCACCTCACACCAGCAGACAACCATGGTTCCCCACCTCACACCAGCAGACACTCATGGCTCCCCACCTCACACCAGCAGACTCTCATGGTTCCCCACCTCACACCAGCAGACACTCATGGTTCCCACCTCACACCAGCAGACATTCGTTGTTCCCCACCTCACACCAGCAGACACTCATGGTTCCCCACCTCACACCAGCAGACACTCATGGTTCCCCACCTCACACCAGCAGACTCTCATGGTTCCCCACCTCACCAGCAGACACTCATGGTTCCCCACCTCACACCAGCAGACACTCGTGGTTCCCCACCTCACACCAGCAGACACTCGTGGTTCCCCACCTCACACCAGCAGACTCTCATGGTTCCCCACCTCACACCAGCAGACAACCATGGTTCCCCACCTCACACCAGCAGACACTCATGGTTCCCCACCTCACATCAGCAGACACTCGTGGTTCCTCACCTCACACCAGCAGACACTCGTGGTTCCTCACCTCACACCAGCAGACACTCGTGGTTCCTCACCTCACACCAGCAGACACTCATGGTTCCTCACCTCACACCAGCAGACACTCATGGTTCCCCACCTCACACCAGCAGACACTCATGGTTCCCCACCTCACACCAGCACACTCATGGTTCCCCACCTCACATCAGCAGACACTCGTGGTTCCTCACCTCACACCAGCAGACACTCATGGTTCCTCACCTCACACCAGCAGACACTCATCTTTCCCCACCTCACACCAGCAGACACTCATGGTTCCCCACCTCACACCAGCAGACACTCATGGTTCCTCACCTCACACCAGCAGACACTCATGGTTCCCCACCTCACATCAGCAGACACTCATGGTTCCCCACCTCACATCAGCAGACACTCGTGGTTCCTCACCTCACACCAGCAGACACTCATGGTTCCTCACCTCACACCAGCAGACACTCATCTTTCCCCACCTCACACCAGCAGACACTCATGGTTCCCCACCTCACACCAGCAGACACTCATGGTTCCCCACCTCACATCAGCAGACACTCGTGGTTCCTCACCTCACATCAGCAGACACTCGTGGTTCCTCACCTCACACCAGCAGACACTCATGGTTTCTCACCTCACACCAGCAGACACTCATGGTTCCTCACCTCACACCAGCAGACACTCATGGTTCCTCACCTCACACCAGCAGACACTCATGGTTCTTCACCTCACACCAGCAGACACTCATGGTTCCTCACCTCACACCAGCAGACACTCATGTTTCCTCACCTCACACCAGCAGACACTCATGGTTCCTCACCTCACCAGCAGACACTCATGGTTCCTCACCTCACACCAGCAGACACTCATGGTTCCTCACCTCACACCAGCAGACACTCATGGTTCTTCACCTCACACCAGCAGACACTCATGGTTCTTCACCTCACACCAGCAGACACTCGTGGTTCCCCACCTCACACCAGCAGACACTCATGTTTCCTCACCTCACACCAGCAGACACTCATGGTTCCTCACCTCACACCAGGAGACACTCATGGTTTCTCACCTCACACCAGCAGACACTCATGGTTCCTCACCTCACATCAGCAGACACTCGTGGTTCCTCACCTCACACCAGCAGACACTCATGGTTTCTCACCTCACACCAGCAGACACTCATGGTTCCTCACCTCACACCAGCAGACACTCGTGGTTCCTCACCTCACACCAGCAGACACTCATGTTTCCTCACCTCACACCAGCAGACACTCATGGTTCCTCACCTCACACTCATGGTTTCTCACCTCACACCAGCAGACACTCATGGTTCCTCACCTCACACCAGCAGACACTCATGGTTCCTCACCTCACATCAGCAGACACTCATGGTTCCTCACCTCACACCAGCAGACACTCATGGTTCCTCACCTCACACCAGGAGACACTCATGGTTCCTCACCTCACACCAGCAGACACTCATGGTTCCCCACCTCACACCAGCAGACACTCATGGTTCCCCACCTCACACCAGCAGACACTCATGGTTCCCCACCTCACACCAGCAGACACTCATGGTTCCTCACCTCACACCAGCAGGCTCATGGTTCCTCACCTCACACCAGCAGACACTCATGGTTTCTCACCTCACACCAGCAGACACTCATGGTTTCTCACCTCACACCAGCAGACACTCATGGTTCCTCACCTCACACCAGCAGACACTCATGTTTCCTCACCTCACACCAGCAGACACTCATGGTTCCTCACCTCACACCAGCAGACACTCATGTTTCCTCACCTCACACCAGCAGACACTCATGGTTCCTCACCTCACACCAGCAGACTCTCATGGTTCCTCACCTCACACCAGCAGACACTCATGGTTCCTCACCTCACACCAGCAGACACTCATGGTTCCTCACCTCACACCAGCAGACACTCATGGTTCCTCCTCACACCAGCAGACACTCATGGTTCCCCACCTCACACCAGCAGACACTCGTGGTTCCTCACCTCACACCAGCAGACACTCATGGTTCCCCACCTCACATCAGCAGACACTCGTGGTTCCTCACCTCACACCAGCAGACACTCGTGGTTCCTCACCTCACACCAGCAGACACTCATGGTTCCCCACCTCACACCAGCAGACACTCGTGGTTCCTCACCTCACACCAGCAGACACTCATGGTTCCCCCTCACACCAGCAGACACTCGTGGTTCCTCACCTCACACCAGCAGACACTCATGGTTCCTCACCTCACAGCAGCAGACACTCGTGGTTCCCCACCTCACACCAGCAGACACTCATGGTTCCTCACCTCACAGCAGCAGACACTCATGGTTCCCCACCTCACACCAGCAGACACTCGTGGTTCCTCACCTCACACCAGCAGACACTCATGGTTCCCCACCTCACACCAGCAGACACTCGTGGTTCCTCACCTCACACCAGCAGACACTCATGGTTCCTCACCTCACACCAGACACTCGTGGTTCCCCACCTCACACCAGCAGACACTCATGGTTCCCCACCTCACACGAGCAGACACTCGCGGTTCCTCACCTCACACCAGCAGACACTCATGGTTCCTCACCTCACACCAGCAGACACTCGTGGTTCCCCACCTCACACCAGCAGACACTCGTGGTTCCCCACCTCACACCAGCAGACACTCGTGGTTCCCCACCTTACACCAGCAGACTCTCATGGTTCCCCACCTCACACCAGCAGACACACGATACATTCGGCCATTTCCAATATAAATTTTTCAGGGATATAAAAACAATGTTTATATTTCTCAGTTAGTGTTGAATATAAATAAAATTTATATAATTTATTTACACAGTGATACATTACTATTATGTACACTATTGTGCTATTTCCTAAATCGTAATTATTTTTCACAGACTTTTTTTTTCCCTTTCAAGAGTTACGATGCCGTCCATTGGTGTCAGTTCAGGGCTCTTGAGCTGAGGATTGAGAGCCTCATTCCTCTTGCTCGGATCAAGAGCCCTTCACCAGCATCAAGGCATCTCTTGTGATGGTAGAGGTTACAGTCAGTTCACTAACAGCGCTCCTGTATGATTCTAAATGCAACTGAAAAAATAATTCCTGAATCGAAGATCTCGCAAAGAGTCCTTCATGGTAGAGGCAGGCTTCACTTTACAGCGTTTATTATTACAGGGCTTCACTTTACAGCGTTTATTATTACAGGGCTTCACTTTACAGCGTTTATTATTACAGGGCTTCACTTTACAGCATTTATTATTACAGGGCTTCACTTTACAGCGTTTATTATTACAGGGCTTCACTTTACAGCGTTTATTATTACAGGGCTTCACTTTACAGCGTTTATTATTACAGGACTTCACTTTACAGCGTTTATTATTACAGGGCTTCACTTTACAGCGTTTATTATTACAGGGCTTCACTTTACAGCGTTTATTATTACAGGGCTTCACTTTACAGCATTTCACTAACACCGCAGTTTTCAAATATAACCATTCTTCATTTATTCAGACTTCCAATAATAAATATATTCACCACTCACTATGAGCTAAATATGAAAATATTTAAAAGTAATGTATGCACTGTATATGCATATTTTACCCCTAGATCTATTGCTCACTTAATATATGATAGTGTTAACATGTTATCAGGCATTTATATGCATTTTAAAATGATGATTTTAAGCAATTTTCACTTTACAACATTAGCCCAGAACCTAACCTGCTGTATAAGTGGGGCCCTACAGTAGCCCAGAACCTAACCTGCTGTATAAGTGGGGCCCTACAGTAGCCCAGAACCTAACCTGCTGTATAAGTGGGGCCCTACAGTAGCCCAGAACCTAACCTGCTGTATAAGTGGGGCCCTACAGTAGCCCAGAACCTAACCTGCTGTATAAGTGGGGCCCTACAGTAGCCCAGAACCTAACCTGCTGTATAAGTGGGGCCCTACAGTAGCCCAGAACCTAACCTGCTGTATAAGTGGGGCCCTACAGTAGCCCAGAACTTAATCTGCTGTATAAGTGGGGCCCTACAGTAGCCCAGAACTTAATCTGCTGTATAAGTGGGGCCCTACAGTAGCCCAGAACTTAATCTGCTGTATAAGTGGGGCCCTACTGTAGCCCGGAGCTTAATCTGCTGTATAAGTGGGGCCCTACAGTAGCCCAGAGCTTAATCTGCTGTATAAGTGGGGCCCTACAGTAGCCTGGAACTTAATCTGCTGTATAATTGGGGCCCTACAGTAGCCCGGAACTTAATCTGCTGTATAAGCTGGACGCTGGACCCTCTTGTATGAGCTATTAAACTTTGAGTGAACTTTTTCAACTGCATTAACCCCCCAAAAAATCCCACTGTACACAAAAAGTCTTTAAGAAAGCCTTGTACACAAAAACTTAAGTGGAACACTAAATGCTTAGGCACTACCTCTCACATCTGTACATGTCCTCCTCTCTCTCTCTCTTAGGCGCTAACGACTCTTGATCCCAAGAGCTGGAGCTGCCTCTCCATCCTTGGATCAAACCTAATTACCAATAATAATGTCAGGGATGATGCCATATGCTAAGTACACACTCAGGTTTGTTACACATCAGAGCACTATAATGCAGTCTTAGCAGCACTGAGAGGCACTATAGTCACAGAGGCACTATAATCACAGAGGCACTATAATCACAGAGGCACTATAGTCACAGAGGCACTATAGTCACAGAGGCACTATAGTCACAGATGCACTACACAGTCACAGCAGCACTTAAGTGGCACTTAGAAACGTTACAGAGGCACCTATATAACTCGAGTCATATTACACAACTTAGAGATGCACTAAACAGGTCCACAACCAAAACCCATCATCAAATGGGTTTGTGCCTTTGTCACTTGCAGGAGAGACTGTCAGTCACTTCCAGCAGAAAGGCTGTCACCTTCAGTAGGAAGATTCACTTCCAGCAGGAAGACTGTCACTTCCAGCAGGAAGACTGTCACTTCCAGCAGGAAGACTATTACTTACAGAAAGAAGACTGTCACTTCCAGCAGAAAGACTGTTACTTCCAGAAGGAAGATTGTTACTTGCAGAAGGAAGATTGCCACTTCCAGCTGGGACACCATTACTTTCAAGTGGGAGACTCTCACTTCCCGGGAGTGACACTGCCACTTTCAAGTGACCACACTTGTAGCTCACTACTGGCAAGCTTCATCACAAACTTTTTGTAACACATCACCTCAAGATCCCAAAAACTGTCACTCTCCTGATGTCAAAAATACCTTGGATGTGATGAGATGTTCTGCCCCTCCTGGCAACAAACATTCCTTGCCAGAGTGATTTTCGGAAATGTCGAGTGATTTTTGAAAACGTTGAGCAATTTTCAAAAATATCAACACCTCCACATTAACCTACATGATCAACTAGGCGGCTCTGCCTGGCTCAGCTCCATCCAGCATCTATTTGGCTTGAATCCTCAAGGAACCACAGAGCATCTGGAAAGCTGGCCACAGGGCACCATCATTCTCCCCTTGTTCATCAACGATTTCTCTTGCTGCCCTCCTGAGGTGGGTATCACGGGTGGGTGTCAAGGGCGGGTGCTCAGGAGGTGCCGTTGCCATAATAGCCGTTGGTGTTGAGGGGTTCCGTCTCTGTCTTGTCATGGGGTCGCTGCCTCTTGAAGAAACCCATCTGTAAACACAGGGGACAAATCGTCAAAACATCCATAGAAGCAAAATTATTATTTACAAGAATGTGTGATACACTACTTTAGCTTAGAGATTATATTGTTAGTTTTGTTATTACTAAGCGGAAGATAGAAAAAATATGTATCTAGCAGAGGCCAGTAGGCCTACTGCATTACTATATTCTTATATTTTGGAAAGAGAGAATGAGAGAGAGAGAATGAGAGAGAATGAGAGAGAGAGAATGAGAGAGAGAGAGAGAGAGAGAATGAGAGAGAGAGAATGAGAGAGAGAGAATGAGAGAGAGAGAGAGAATGAGAGAGAGAGAATGAGAGAGAGAGAATGAGAGAGAGAGAGAGAATGAGAGAGAGAGAGAGAATGAGAGAGAGAGAGAATGAGAGAGAGAGAGAATGAGAGAGAGAATGAGAGAGAGAGAGAGAGAGAGAGAAAGAGAGAGAGAGAGAGAATGAGAGAGAGAGCGTGCACTGATCTGGAGTGAGACAACAGCTCTTGTAATATAAATACAGAAAGTTACAGCTTATCTTTGAAATCTGGTACCAGAGAGTACCACATATTACTACACTACCACCATCTTCTTTCACAACACTACCACAATCCTACACCACTACTACCCTGCAAAATTATCCAACCTAGTACCACCATTCTACAAACAACATCATACAGAATTACAACAACTACCACCATTATACAACTACCATCACACCATATGGGAATAATCAAAACTACTGCCATTCTACAACCATACCATACAGAATTACCACGACTACCACCATTCAACCAGTTGCAGCAGCAGACCACCACACCCCAGAGAGCCACCAGCAGACTACTCACCGCCCACAGCAGAGTACTCAGCAGAGCCAGCAGGAGCAGACCAGCCAGGATGCTGCCAACCACCACCACCCACTTCAGGGAACTTCTCTGTTCCTCAGGTCCTGTCCTGACTACTGTGGTCACGGTCCTGGACCACAGCCCCCTCCTGCTGCTGCTGTTGTCTTCTGCTGTCTGATGGTCACTAGTGGTGGCATCGCTCTGGTGCCACCACTCCTCCCCGGTCCCAGAGGTAGAGCCTCTTGCTGCAGCCACCATCACACGAGATGATATCTTCACCTGCGGCATCCCCACCTGTCATAATAATTACTATTATTATTATTATTATGAATAGTTTTAATTATTATTATTATTGTGCTGCTCTTCATTGGGAAGCACTAAACCCTTGTGGATTTATTGCTTCCATATAAATATAATAAACTGTTTCTTACACTGAGGGCAGTGTGAGAGGAAAGGAAGGAAGGGAGGCTATGGAATCTTTCTCTCTCTAAGGGGGATTGAGAAAGGAAGGGGAGAGAGGAGTATGGAGGAAAGGTAAATGGGAGGCAGAGGAGTGTATGGAGGTAAGGTCATGGAGGTACAAACCTTACGGAGGGTGTCTACCCAGAGTCTGGATCTGACACGGATCACCACACTGTGTGAGGCGGCCAGGGGGGCCACGGAACACACCATGCGGGTGCAGTTAGTGGGTCCACATGACAGTTCCTCCTCCAGGCCCTCCAGATCCAGATCGCTCCGACGGCCCCTCTGATGGTGTCGGTCGTGTCGGCGTCGATGGAGGCCCTCTGCTTGATCATTGAGGACCTCACCTGAGTCTTCAGGGAGCCGGGGCGATGTGCTGCCTGTCCTGGAAATGCCACCTGGTCCAGAAGTACTGTCTGATGTGTCTGGCAGGTGGTGTGAGGCTTTGTCCACCTGCAAGGTAGAGTGGAAATAAATCAAAGACCCCAGTGGAAATAAGTCAAAGACCCCAATGGAAATAAGTCAAAGATCCCAATGGAAATAAGTTAAGGACCTCACTGGAAATAAGTCAAGGATCTCAATGGATACAAGTCAAGGACCCAATGGAAATAAGTAAAGGACCCCAATCAAATTAACCAAGGCCATCAATCGAAATAAGTCAAGGACCCCAGTAGAAATAAGTCACTTTGTCTGGTGTTTTGGGTTTATCCCAGTGGGTAATTGACACTATATATGATAGTTGTACTTATGTGTACCTGTACCTGAATAAACTTACTAACCAGATTTCCCTGAAAGCCTATCAGATCAGTCTGATTTACCAACCTTTTAACTAGCCATCGATATAAAGATTTTTTTTTTAAGATTTGGCACCGAAGAAAGACAGTACTGGACAGTGTCACTAATTCTGTGAGTGAACATACTACTACAGAGACAGTACTCGACAGTGCCACTCATATGCGAGTGAACATAATTATAGCAGCTACTAACCTGGTGTATTATGCTAGTACGTAGTTATAGCAGTTACTAACCTCTAGTCCTAGGTAGTTGATGTGTGGGAGACTATGGCAGACAGCAGGAGAGGACACCATGGGAGTTTCCAGCATGTACAGCAGGGGGTCCTGGGAGAGAGTTCTGCTGGGCCACAGCAGGATGATGTATGCCGCTGGCAGATCTGACGGACCGCGGTTCGTGATGTCGTACACATGCATGACTTCTGGACCGACCTGGCGTTCATGTGTGAGCTGACCATGGTCCCCGACCAGACCAATACCATACATGGAGGCATTGTAGTCGAAAGGCTCGTCAGGGATGGATATCCTGCAATGGTGGTGGAGGATAGTAGTTATGGGTGGTGGTAGGGGATGGTAGTGGAGGATGGTAGTTATGGGTGGTGGTAGGGGATGGTAGTGGAGGATGGTAGTTATGGGTGGTGGTAGGGGATGGTAGTGGAGGATGGTAGTTATGGGTGGTGGTAGGGGATGGTAGTGGAGGATGGTAGTTATGGGTGGTGGTAGGGGATGGTAGTGGAGGATGGTAGTTATGGGTGGTGGTAGGGGATGGTAGTTATGGGTGGTGGTAGGGGATGGTAGTTATGGGTGGTGGTAGGGGATGGTAGTTATGGGTGGTGGTAGGGGATGGTAGTTATGGGTGGTGGTAGGGGATGGTAGTTATGGGTGGTGGTAGGGGATGGTAGTGGAGGATGGTAGTTATGGGTGGTGGTAGGGGATGGTAGTGGAGGATGGTAGTTATGGGTGGTGGTAGGGGATGGTAGTGGAGGATGGTAGTTATGGGTGGTGGTAGGGGATGGTAGTGGAGGATGGTAGTTATGGGTGGTGGTAGGGGATGGTAGTGGAGGATGGTAGTTATGGGTGGTGGTAGGGGATGGTAGTGGAGGATGGTAGTTATGGGTGGTGGTAGTGGAGGATGATAGTTATGGGTGGTGGTAGGGGATGGTAGTGGAGGATGGTAGTTATGGATGGTGATAGGGGATGGTTTTTATGGATGGTTGTAAAGGATGGTGGTTATGGATGGTTGTAGAAGATAATAGTAATCATAATAAGAATAATAATAATGATAAGCAATCTTCTCAAATATCTACCCTTTAGCTGTCCCCTAGACCTCTGGCAGATATTTACCCCCTAGCTCTGCCTCCTAGACCTCTCTTTGGCAGACCAGTTACCCCCTATCTCTGCCCCTAGACTGCTCTCTGGCAGACCAGTTACCCTCTAGCTCTGCCTCCTAGACCTCTCTCTGGCAGACCAGTTACCCCCTATCTCTGCCCCTAGACTGCTCTCTGGCAGACCAGTTACCCCCTAGCTCTGCTCCCTAGACCTCTCTCTGGCAGACCAGTTACCCTCTAGCTCTGCTCCCTAGACCTCTCTCTGGCAGACCAGTTACCCCCTATCTCTGCCCCTAGACTGCTCTCTGGCAGACCAGTTACCCCCTATCTCTGCCCCTAGACTGCTCTCTGGCAGACCAGTTACCCCCTAGCTCTGCCCCCTAGTCCTCTCTCACTCACCCCTTGATGTTAATATCACTCCTGACGGTGACAGGAAGGGCCAGGGCAGCATGGTTGTCCAGGGTAGTGGCTGGATCCTCGGGATTGGCGGAAGAGGCTGTGATGTGGAAGTCCAAGCTGGAGGTGTTGAGGAGGTGAGGTGTTGGTTGGAACACCAGCTGCAACACCACCAGTGCCTCAGATGGTAGTGGGTTCCCTACGTCGCAAATCACCTGTGGAACACACAGGTTAGTGTGGGTATTTTGTACTGGAGGTGGCTAGTTTACTGCGTGTCCATGTTGTGGATGGTAGTGGCTAGTTTATTGTGTGACACATGTCCATGCTGTAGAAGGTAGTGTTTGATACACTTCCAGAAGTGCTTGTAACCATGCCTAAGTCTGGCTACTACAACATCAGCCATTATTCACATACTAAGTTATTCCGTAGACAAGCTTATCAACTCTGATGTTATCACGGTGAGTGATGGATCTACTCAGCCTTCTAACTGCCTTCCTATGACATTCAAATTCATTATATATATGAAGGGATTTAGGTGGAACTGATCAGCAAGACTTGAGTCCTAGAGGTCTGGCATTTCCACTCCTACAGTTATATTCTTCATTACACAAATAACCCGTACACAGGAGACTGAAATATATAATGACGTTTTGGTCCGACTTGAACCATTAACTAGCTACACAGAACCGTGAAGGGAAGGTAGCCAGTACATATACGAGACGAGACGGGGCCAGGAGTAGAACGAGAGGAGGTAGAAGTAGTGGTGGTAGTGGCAGTTGTAATAGTAGCAATAGTAATGGTAATAGTAACAGTAGTAGCGGTGGTAGTAGTAGTAATGTAGTAGTAATGTAGTAGCAATAGTAGTGGTAGTAGTAACAATAGCAGCAGCAGTGGTAGTAGTGGTGGTAGTAATAGTAGTGGTGGTAATAGTAGTGGTAGCAGCAGTAGTAGCATACACCTAACACCTTTCACTCACTCATAACACACCTAACACCTCTAACACTCACCTAACACAAGTGTCACCTGCCTCCACTAACCTCCTCCGAAGAAGTCTTGGTGACTGCAGAACAGATGGGCGTGACATCAGAAGCAGTGTTCTCCTGCAGGAGGAACCTGCTGAAGGTGGCTCCCCTGGGCACCTTCACCTGCAGTTTGGCCAGGAAGGCATCTTCACCTGTGTTGCGCACTGTCACCTGGGCCAACAGGTCCCTAGGAGAGCCCAGCACATACTCAGCAGCGTCCCTTGAGACGATAAGAGAGAATTAAGGAGTGATCCATGCTGGCAGCAGCAGTCTAGTTGATCTATTCTTTACACAAGGTACAGGAGGGCCCTGCTTATACAGCAGGTTAGGTTCTGGGCTACTGCTGTACAGGAGAGCCCTGTTTATACAGCAGGTTAAGTTCTGGGCTACTGCTGTACAGGAGAGCCCTGCTTATACAGCAGGTTAAGTTCTGGGCTACTGCTGTACAGGAGAGCCCTGCTTATACAGCAGGTTAAGTTCTGGGCTACTGCTGTACAGGAGAGCCCTGCTTATACAGCAGGTTAAGTTCTGGGCTACTGCTGTACAGGAGGGCCCTGCTTATACAGCAGGTTAAGTTCTGGGCTACTGCTGTACAGGAGAGCCCTGCTTATACAGCAGGTTAAGTTCTGGGCTACTGCTGTACAGGAGAGCCCTGCTTATACAGCAGGTTAAGTTCTGGGCTACTGCTGTACAGGAGAGCCCTGCTTATACAGCAGGTTAAGTTCTGGGCTACTGCTGTACAGGAGGGCCCTGCTTATACAGCAGGTTAAGTTCTGGGCTACTGCTGTACAGGAGAACCCTGCTTATACAGCAGGTTAAGTTCTGGGCTACTGCTGTACAGGAGAGCCCTGCTTATACAGCAGGTTAAGTTCTGGGCTACTGCTGTACAGGAGAGCCCTGCTTATACAGCAGGTTAAGTTCTAGGCTACTGCTGTACAGGAGGGCCCTGCTTATACAGCAGGTTAAGTTCTGGGCTACTGCTGTACAGGAGAGCCCTGCTTATACAGCAGGTTAAGTTCTGGGCTACTGCTGTACAGGAGAGCCCTGCTTATACAGCAGGTTAAGTTCTGGGCTACTGCTGTACAGGAGAGCCCTGCTTATACAGCAGGTTAAGTTCTGGGCTACTGCTGTACAGGAGAGCCCTGCTTATACAGCAGGTTAAGTTCTGGGCTACTGCTGTACAGGAGGGCCCTGCTTATACAGCAGGTTAAGTTCTGGGCTACTGCTGTACAGGAGAGTCCTGCTTATACAGCAGGTTAAGTTCTGGGCTACTGCTGTACAGGATGGCCCTGCTTATACAGCAGGTTAAGTTCTGGGCTACTGCTGTACAGGAGGGCCCTGCTTATACAGCAGGTTAAGTTCTGGGCTACTGCTGTACAGGAGGGCCCTGCTTATACAGCAGGTTAAGTTCTGGGCTACTGCTGTACAGGAGGGCCCTGCTTATACAGCTGGTTAAGTTCTGGGCTACTGCTGTACAGGAGAGCCCTGCTTATACAGCAGGTTAAGTTCTGGGCTACTGCTGTACAGGAGAGCCCTGCTTATACAGCAGGTTAAGTTCTGGGCTACTGCTGTACAGGAGGGCCCTGCTTATACAGCAGGTTAAGTTCTGGGCTACTGCTGTACAGGAGAGCCCTGCTTATACAGCAGGTTAAGTTCTGGGCTACTGCTGTACAGGAGAGCCCTGCTTATACAGCAGGTTAAGTTCTGGGCAACTGCTGTACAGGAGAGCCCTGCTTATACAGCAGGTTAAGTTCTGGGCTACTGCTGTACAGGAGGGCCCTGCTTATACAGCAGGTTAAGTTCTGGGCTACTGCTGTACAGGAGAGCCCTGCTTATACAGCAGGTTAAGTTCTGGGCTACTGCTGTACAGGAGGGCCCTGCTTATACAGCAGGTTAAGTTTGGGCTACTGCTGTACAGGAGAGCCCTGCTTATACAGCAGGTTAAGTTCTGGGCTACTGCTGTACAGGAGAGCCCTGCTTATACAGCAGGTTAAGTTCTGGGCTACTGCTGTACAGGAGAGCCCTGCTTATACAGCAGGTTAAGTTCTGGGCTACTGCTGTACAAGAGAGCCCTGCTTATACAGCAGGTTAAATTCTGGGCTACTGCTGTACAGGAGGGCCCTGCTTATACAGCAGGTTAAGTTCTGGGCTACTGCTGTACAGGAGGGCCCTGCTTATACAGCAGGTTGTTCTGGGCTACTGCTGTACAGGAGAGCCCTGCTTATACAGCAGGTTAAGTTCTGGGCTACTGCTGTACAGGAGGGCCCTGCTTATACAGCAGGTTAAGTTCTGGGCTACTGCTGTACAGGAGAGCCCTGCTTATACAGCAGGTTAAGTTCTGGGCTACTGCTGTACAGGAGAGCCCTGCTTATACAGCAGGTTAAGTTCTGGGCTACTGCTGTACAGGAGAGCCCTGCTTATACAGCAGGTTAAGTTCTGGGCTACTGCTGTACAGGAGAGCCCTGCTTATACAGCAGGTTAAGTTCTGGGCTACAGCTGTACAGGAGAGCCCTGCTTATACAGCAGGTTAAGTTCTGGGCTACTGCTGTACAGGAGAGCCCTGCTTATACAGCAGGTTAGGTTCTGGGCTACTGCTGTACAGGAGGGCCCTGCTTATACAGCAGGTTAAGTTCTGGGCTACTGCTGTACAGGAGGGCCCTGCTTATACAGCAGGTTAGGTTCTGGGCTACTGCTGTACAGGAGGGCCCTGCTTATACAGCAGGTTAAGTTCTGGGCTACTGCTGTACAGGAGAGCCCTGCTTATACAGCAGGTTAAGTTCTGGGCTACTGCTGTACAGGAGAGCCCTGCTTATACAGCAGGTTAAGTTCTGGGCTACTGCTGTACAGGAGAGCCCTGCTTATACAGCAGGTTAAGTTCTGGGCTACTGCTGTACAGGAGGGCCCTGCTTATACAGCAGGTTAAGTTCTGGGCTACTGCTGTACAGGAGAGCCCTGCTTATACAGCAGGTTAGATTCTAGGCTACTGCTGTACAGGAGAGCCCTGCTTATACAGCAGGTTAAGTTCTGGGCTACTGCTGTACAGGAGAGCCCTGCTTATACAGCAGGTTAAGTTCTGGGCTACTGCTGTACAGGAGAGCCCTGCTTATACAGCAGGTTAAGTTCTGGGCTACTGCTGTACAGGAGGGCCCTGCTTATACAGCAGGTTAAGTTCTGGGCTACTGCTGTACAGGAGGGCCCTGCTTATACAGCAGGTTAAGTTCTGGGTACTGCTGTACAGGAGGGCCCTGCTTATACAGCAGGTTAAGTTCTGGGCTACTGCTGTACAGGAGGGCCCTGCTTATACAGCAGGTTAGGTTCTGGGCTACTGCTGTACAGGAGGGCCCTGCTTATACAGCAGGTTAAGTTCTGGGCTACTGCTGTACAGGAGAGCCCTGCTTATACAGCAGGTTAAGTTCTGGGCTACTGCTGTACAGGAGAGCCCTGCTTATACAGCAGGTTAAGTTCTGGGCTACTGCTGTACAGGAGAGCCCTGCTTATACAGCAGGTTAAGTTCTGGGCTACTGCTGTACAGGAGGGCCCTGCTTATACAGCAGGTTAAGTTCTGGGCTACTGCTGTACAGGAGAGCCCTGCTTATACAGCAGGTTAGATTCTAGGCTACTGCTGTACAGGAGAGCCCTGCTTATACAGCAGGTTAAGTTCTGGGCTACTGCTGTACAGGAGAGCCCTGCTTATACAGCAGGTTAAGTTCTGGGCTACTGCTGTACAGGAGAGCCTGCTTATACAGCAGGTTAAGTTCTGGGCTACTGCTGTACAGGAGGGCCCTGCTTATACAGCAGGTTAAGTTCTGGGCTACTGCTGTACAGGAGGGCCCTGCTTATACAGCAGGTTAAGTTCTGGGCTACTACTGGAGTATAATGCTTTGAAATATCTCCGGGTAAGCAGCAATAGCCTGGCTGATGAGACACACAGGAATTCCTGGTTGGTGATGAGCCAGGTTGTTGGTGCAGGCACCCCGCACTGTGTAAATGAGTTGGTGATGTTAGCTGTAGTGACACTGGGGAGTCTTGCCTTACTTGGTAACACTGGCTTACCTCACTCTAGGGCAGGGGAGAGGCAAGGGGTGGGGGAAGGCAGGGAGAGGGGGAAGGCAGGGGGAGGGGGAAGGCGGGGGGAGGGGGAAGGCAGGGGAAAGAGGAAGACAGGGGGAGGGAAAGGCAGGGGAAGGAGGAAGGTAGGTAGCTTCCCAAATTTATATATATATATATATATATATATATATATATATATATATATATATATATATATATATATATATATATATATATATATATATATAACAGTAATAATAATAACGGTAATTATAATAACAACAAGAACCAGACTTGTTTTAACAAGGTGTAACGAGCCCACAGGGGGTCATTAGACCTCATTATAACAGCAACATGATCCTTCCGTTAAGATGAACTATCATAAACGGTCGAGCACCTTGTGTACAAGATCTGGTTCCCACGTGAAAAGGGATTGGATCCCACATGAAAGGGGATTGGATCCCATGTGACAGGAATTGGATCCTATGTGAAAAAAGGACTGGATCACATGTGAAAAGGATTTGTTCCCATGTGAAAGGAACTGGATCCTATGTAAAAAAAAAAAGAATTGAATCCCATGCGAAAAAGGATTGGATCTCATGAGAAATGCATTGGATCTTATGATAAAAGGATTGGATTCTAAGGAAAATCACTGGATCCTATACGTAAAAGACTGGATCCCATGTAAAAGGGGAATGGATCCAGTGTAAAAAGAATTGGATCCTATGTAGCAAGAATGGAAAGAACTGGATCCGATATGATAAATGATGGGATCCCATGTGAAAAAGGACTGAATTCCAAGTGAAAAGGAATAAACTCCACGTGAAAAGCATTAGATCCAGTACGAAAGGGATTAGATTACCATGCCAGAGAATTAGATCCCACTCGGGAAAAAAAATAATAACTGATCCCTAGGATATAAAGCCTTACTGCCGAGGTGAGACTTAAAACGAAGGGTTCCAAGCCTCTTAACGGAGGAATCCAATCCCCTTGGTCAGACCTAATATGGCAGTGGATCCTGTATGAGGAGAGGCGTCTGGTGTGCCTGTAGGCTGGAGGACTTGCCGTAACCGTCTTCTTATTTCCTCGACCACCATCAATAACTATCATGGAGAAGATGGGTGTGTGTGTGTGTGTGTGTGTGTGTGTGTGTGTGTGTGTGTGTGTGTG